GTGCACTTCTACACGCTCTATCAGTTGCCTGATGCAACGGTTAGCAGAGGCAGATTTGTAGTCTTGGCCGCCCTAGGCCTTGTAGTAAGTTCCAGCCGCCCCTTTCTCAGAGCCCATCATACAGACACATCTTGTCAGTTTCTGTCACCCATCATACAGACACATCTTGTCAGTTTCTGTCACGATTGGCCGCCCCTAATATGTCGCCGCCCTAGGCTCGGGCTTATTGGGCCTTAGGGCAAATCCGCCACTGACGGTTAGGGATGTGTCTCATCAAACTTATTACATGATACATATATTTTTATATGTTTAGGCATACAATATATACACTATGGCTTTGATCCACTCTACCCTCGTTGTCTTTGTCTTTATGGGGCGATTGGTTTATTTTTAGTCTTAGGTACCATGTAGAGAATTTTACTGTGCCCACCACGCAGCAGCTCCTGCTTTATCGGGGAAGTGCCACTGACGCAAAGATGATATGGATAAAATGGTATCATAAATTTCCGTTTCTTCTGGTGAGTGCGGTCGTTCGAGTCCACGTTTTCAAGGTTGACAACGCATTTGCAATCAGAGGTATCATAGGTTTCAATCAACGGAATATCGTAATATCACTTGGCATCAGAAGAACCGCCTTTGCTGTCACAGGGAATTTCGTTGCACTTTACTTGCTGCCTACTTACATAAAAAAAAAACAACCCAATCGCGTCAATAAACAAAGACCGTTTTATAAACCTGTTTCGAGCAGAAAGCTCGCGACTGGTATTGAACATTGATACATATGTCGTAATTAGTCTCAAACACGTGGGCAATTGAAATCGCGTTCGCGTTGGCCTTGATCCAATGAAGAGATCTATTGGTTGCGCGGTATCGCCTTTGTGTACTTAGCCTAGCTAATGGCTCGGGCAACGTGGGTCGTGCGTTCGGTTCTCGAATGGAAAATATTCGACATCACTAGCGAACGGGATAATGATTTAACTGCCTTAGAGCGTAATGCTTTATATAGGAGTAGTCTGAGTTAAAAAATAAAAAAGTGACGAATGCATGTGGCTAATGTGACGACCACCCTACTTTTGTTTGTCGGATGTTGCTTGAATTGGCAGTCTACCCCAAGTCGGTTCCGACCGGTTAGTAGCTCGTTAGTAGCCATGGTTAGGACCCTCATAGCGAAGCCGGGAGGAAGCCGCACTGGGCCGGCTTGTCCTATGAGGCCGGTCCGAGAGGGCCGCTCCAAATGGCTCATTGAGCCCACTTTGAATGCGAGCTAAGGCAGTGCGGGGACAGGCCGAGAGTGGTTGAGGAAAAGTGACTCTCCCTGTCCTCCGCAACCGATTTGGAGTAACGATGGAAGAGTTGTGTTGGTATTTATGTATTCTTTATATTTTAAGACACATTTTTACACAACGTTCTCTAGTCTCAAACTAAGCAACGCTTGTACTATGGATACTAGATAACTGATAAACATATTTAGGTAAATATACTTTTGTTTTCTCAATAAATACTGTTATACATATATAAACACCCAGACTCTAGGAAAACACTATGTTTATCACACGATATTTTTTCAGTAGTGGGCATCGAACGCCATTCGGGTCGTCCAGCGTTTGGCAATCATCCTAGTTTTTCTACTCCCCGCGGTGGAGACGTGGTGAGGTGTTTTCACTTCCTCTACGTCAAAAAAACCATAATAACTTACTGTGCTTAGGAACTGCACCACCAAGTGGCTAAAGAATACAGTTCTTTTGACTTTTCCTTTGTTTACATTCATGATTAATTATGCATTCGCATGTCATATAGCGGTCAGTGCACTTAACACCGACGTGGAATGACGTTCTTTCAAAGTTAATTAATAACATAAAACTATGACTGCACATAGCCCCGATCTCTTCGTTTGTCTTCTAACTTCCGTTTTCAATATTCATTCAGTATTCAGTATTTGACATTAGCCCCATATTACTTACTTCAAAATTCTATCGCCAGTAACTAAATCTATCTATATGTAGAATATTCTAACTGGCCGTTAGCGTGTAAGTAAATTTTCTATAAGGCGATGAGATTCCGAAATTCGTTGTGAACATAAATATTGCCATATATTATAATTCAAAACTTTATGTCGTTTGTGTGTCGGCTTTGGAAGCAATTTGCTTCGCTTTAAGAAGTGTGGTAGGGCCACGCAACAGTTTTCGCTGTTGCACGAATGGGCAGTTCCATCCAGAGAAGACCTAACAGAACAGAAGACCACGAGCTAACAGAAGTCCGGCGTGGAGCGGATGTGTTATAGTTCTGCGTTTTGTCTGGTGATTGAGGTAACCGGGGCCCGCTTTATTAATAAGAGGCAACGCATCTACTAAAGAAAGTTTCTCGAGTGGTAGCCTCGTACTGGCCATCGCAGTGTGGGACGACCCCCCACTAGATGGAGTGACGACCTGTGCAAATGTGCGGGAAGTCGATGGATGCAGGTGGCTAAGGATCGTAATTCGTGGCAGTCTATGGGGGAGGCCTATGTTCAGCAGTGGACTCAAACAGGTTGAAATGATGATGATGATGATGATGATGAACGCATCTATTACCCTACGGGTGTTGCGAATGTTCATGGGCGGCGGTTATCAATTAATATGAGGTGAGTCGCCAGATTGCTTGGTAGCTTCTAACATAAAAAATACTTGATTTTACTTGCAGGAAATGGAAATAGATAATTAAAGCAATAAATCTTTCAATGTTACCTTAAGCTGGTAATGTAAAGCAATGCAATTGAACAAGTGAGCGATTTGTGCGGCGACAAGTATCAAATGATTCGTTTATTGGTAGACGTTCATGTATCAAGTTACCCTTTCTTGTCGTGGTGAAACTATCAACGAGTATAGTTCATATTTCTAATAAATAAGGGCATTATCACATTGTTAATTATAATTATAAAAGCAAAAATAACATTTTTATTATTTTTAACGTATCTCACAGTGTTCCTTGGCATTCTGTTATTTTATCAAACATTGAACAGAGAACCGTAACCATGGTCAAAATTTTGAGCAGGATTATTGAGAAATTTAATAAAAAGATAAACAAACATATTTAGTACATAACAATTAATGATTTCTTAAAACTATATATGCCATAACGAATTTTATAATGTTTCATTTTAATTACCTATGTATCAAATTCTTCACCAAGTGTCATCACCTGTCGAGTCAATACTACTGACGCATTAACAGCTTTTGTATGCAAATTCATAAATTTAAATCAAAGAAAGTTTTATAAAACAGTAGAATAACATTATATTACTTATAAAATGATAGAGCTCTGCCGTTATGCGCGAATCACGGAGAGATTACTGGATATGTTTAAATTAATTATTCTGAGCTTTATTTCATAGACACATAGCGCTTATCCAAAAAATATTGTGATATCTTCATATAATGTAATGTTTTACCTCGTAGCATTAGCATTAACTCTACCTCAACTTTATTCTCAATACATAAATACTTTTGCATCAAAGCTATCGGAAATATCTTTGATGTTTTTTCCGATGCATATAAAACACATTGTTAATATAATAAGCAATCAGATGTCAATCTGATGTCAATATATCGATACAATACTTTTGAGTGTGTGCGTTTGACTTGCTAGGAAGCGCAGTTACCGAGCAAGTGTAAAGTCCGTACCGTAAAGTCTTATTATATCAAGTTTGCAGCACAAGGAAGCGTGTTATAATATGTTTGTATCGCTTATGCGCGATTGTGTTACACATTGCTATATCATTAATTTGTCTATTGACCGGGTATTACTAAATTTAACCTTGTAAGTATCGAAATACGACTCGTGAGCAATTAAATGTAAAGTAATTACATTTCATGATCTTGTAGGCAGTTGTTTTTGGCCAGGGACGTTCTTTTGAAATGAAATAGAATGTTCATTTTTACGAGATGAAATATTACATATGTACATCCAACATATACGCGTTAAAACTAAAATAAAATAGGGGTTTATCCGTGTATAGTATCCGCATAAGCACAAGAGATCAGTACGTACGCTGTCAATATCCTAATAGCTATCGCGGTGTGTAGTTAGAAAAAATATAATTACTAAACAAATATTTACGATTCTGCTATATTGCTATCATTGAAGGGAATCTTCTAGCGGTCGCCGATATGAAAGGTATAGCGATTTAAAAATCGAACGCGACCAATGAAGGATGACGGTTGTGGCTGCGTTCAGGAATTCGTCGAGAAATCGCGCGCTTTTGAATAATTTATTGCATCGCGCGTCAACGATTGCATTTTGCCAGTTCATCGCACATACCCTAGACGAGGTGAATTAAACTACCTATATATAATAAATTATTTCAATTTTTCATATTTAAAAACTGTTTTTATGGTGCTTTCTGGGAATTAAGATTCTAGGAATAATATAATGTTTGGACACATTCAGTAAAACATGTTTTAAGTGTAGAATTAATATATGTAAATTAATCACAATATAATGGACACTTATTAAATTTGGTTTGATAAAAAGGTAGTTTTCATGATGAATATACCGAAGCCAAAATTATAAATTAGAATTTACTTCAAGTTCAGTTAACTGTGTTTACATTTGAAAACAATATAGATTAAAACAGTTTTTTTTTAAACTTACAGGCAAATGCCAACTCTCTAGTCGATATCGTACCGGTTTTGGTGAGCATGATAAAAAAGAACAGTTCACGAGAAGTGCGCAAGGAATGCGGTCCTGCGGGGTGGCCGCTTTGGAGATAGAATTGATAAGTAGACAATGACACTGCATTCCTAGATATGTTTGTAATGTTTACAAAGTAGGTAAGTTTACAAGCTTATAAACTTAATAAATAACCTACGAAATAACCAAATACTGTATATTTCATAAATAAGTGATATAAAACAAATAAACACAATAATTATTGTAAATAAATAACAAGTTATATAATGGTCGCCCGTAAATAATTTATCATAATGATGTTTTAATAGGCAACAGGTAACAAAAGAACCTACCTAGACGGTATCGGCGGGAAGGCATCGAAGAAAATATCACATCGCATTGGCCACCATCACATTAATGAAATCGCGTTCTACGCCACTTTTGTTTTTAATTTTCGTCGGCGTTCCATTTTCAAAGCACAATTTTGAAATAAGAACAAGATGCGAGCGACCATAGCCATATCGTTCGAGTTACTAAGTAACTCGTTGTATGTAGTGATGTGAATCATTTCAATCTATTATTATGCGTGGCAAGTGACCGCGTGTCAAGAGCGAGGATGTCTATGTGCGCGTCTAAACCACGCACTATTATTATTACTAGCTTTGATGCTCAGGCTGCTTAAGTTTTCTTAAGGCGATGCAAATCACATCCATTACTGGAAATAAATTAACACTCTTGATATATACAATAGAAATAATCAAGAAATCGAATGTGTGTCAAAATGCTTACTAATCCCACTAATATTATAAAGGCGAAAGTTTGTATGTATGGATGGATGTTAGTTTCTCTTTCACGCAAATACTACTAAATGGATTTTAATGAAACTTTACAATAATATAGCTTATACATGAGAATAAGACAGGCTATAATTTATATACATATTTTATGTATCTGTCTTTCTGTCTTAATGTTACTACACCTTCAGCTTATTCTACGCAGACGTAGTCGCGGGCAGCAGCTATTAAGATATAAATGTAAGATGAACTAAGGCCAAAATAATATCAATTTCAACATATTATGTATATGAAAGCTCGCACCAACAAGTTGTAAGGTTTTTTATAAGTATTGTAATAATAGTAAATAAGCATGCAAATGAACACACACACACACAAACATGCATAGAGCGGAAGTTGGTTCATCCACATTTACGTAACATCCGTGTACTACACGCTGTAAGTGTGGAAACCTCACAGCGTCTCAGTAAGTATGGACATACCTCTTACTATATAAACTCGTAAGGCATGCCTGCATTCCTGCCTCCAGACGTCATCTCATTCGGAATGTGATCGTGGATCGTTAGTAGCTTGATTTTACTACTATTTACTATCGTGAACCGCAAACGAATTTGAACTCTGTTGAAGGGGAGTAAATATGAATAATGTTTGCGTTACTACATACAAGACTTAATGCCCGTATCTTATCTGTTTTGTGTTTTGCACAAAGCTTTAACGGATAAGCCGTGCAGTTTCGTCGAACAATTTAATGGTAATAGTTAAGTATTGTTTACAAGAAACTGTGGAAATAATCTGTCAAACGAAAGCGACAAACCCTTCATCGTTTCGACCAACGCTTGGTCGACACGACCTTGAATGCCAATGAACCGAAGAACATGATACAATTATCGAATTCGAAATGTTTTGGAGGAGCCTTTGAACCAAAAGACTAAATGTTTTCCTTTTCTTAATAAGGTTTAATAGTGCTTATAATCTAAAGGCGATTTTGAAAACGAATAAAACATTATAAGTTCTTGGTATTATAGCTCAATGTCCGGGCGCTCGCTTTTAATTAAATATACTCGAGCAACCTGAGTTCGATCCCCGGTGCCGGCACCAAAGTAATTGGTAATTTTAAGTGCCGAATTATCCTGTGCTCAGCGGTAAAGGAAAACATCATGAGGAAACCTGCATATTTTCGAAGTAATAACAAAAAAAAGCTATTAAATAGATAATACTATAGATAATAATATTATTACTATCCCAGTTCATGAGATAGAGCCTGGTGATAGACGGACAGACAGACAGACAGCGGAGTCTTAGTAGTAGGGTCGCGTTTTACCCTTTGGTTTCAGAGCCCTAAAAATCAACATTTATCTAACTGATAACGAACAAGAAAAGAAAAATGTGTAAACAATACATTTCAAACTGACAATTAGAGCGAGACTTGCTTATGCCACACTTAACGGTAAACGAAGACGTCTGTAGATAAACACGTCTTCCCTATCACCATTCACATCATTATGCGGGAAACGTCGTCCTTTTACAAGGTATCTCTTTATAAATTATTTAGTTACGTTTATATTCAAGTTTATCACTTGTTATCACAAGTTTATAACTGAATACAAACGCAAATATATAATTACAGTTATTAAAGACTATGCCTATTTTTTTCATATTCAACACGCTGTTTCTGCTTCAAATTCGCCGCGTTGCCAACCTTTAAAACTCAGTCAGCCGCTGTTACCTCACTCACTAGACGAAACGATAAGCCTGTTTACTGGTGCAACCGTTTTCAATCGCCTCATTGATATTTCTACGGTCGAGCTGGTCTAATCGTGCAGCAGTTGAATTGTTGTTTAATCTGTGGTTGCTCTACCAGAGTCGAAAGAAGTTTATTATTTCTGCAACCAGATAGCTTTATATTGGGTGAGAGACACGATATAACGTCAAAGGGACCTAATTTATTTATACGATCTCTTGATAAGCGGTCTGCCAGCGATAAATAATTTCTGAACTGTGAATATAAGCGATAGTCTTAACTTTGGGGAAGTTGTCGGATTCAGTGAAGATGGCTTATATTTCGGCCTAACACCAGATGGCGCTGCATCCGGTATAGGACCTCTTTTGATTCCCTTTAAGCGCCCTGAATGAAATGTCAAGAATCTGACCTGAAAATGTAGATTATCTCATAACTTTTCTATAGGGTATTGCAGATTTCCGCCCCATTCTATTTTTGTAGTATTTGAGCAATATTCACTTTAAATTACAATTCATTGTTCGGTTTTCTTAGTTCTTTATGCGCAATGAGGACAAAGTTAAAATCTAAAACGACAAATCACTCGGCCATGCAAATTCACCTTGACGTATTCTTTTACGATTTGTGTAAGACTAAAACATCAATGAAAAACCCATCGATAGAACGTTGCTCTAGACGTTCTGTCTGTAGAACTGTATTACTAAAGATTAGTGACAACCGATCGATCACAGACTAAAAGCATGGTGTGATTGATATATCTATTTGGTACATCTAGGCGGGTAGCGCAATGGTTAAGGAGGTCACCATGGCAACTGTCTGCAGCGTTTTGGGTGATGCTCGTCAGTATGCTTTCTGTTCAGGATTTTATATTACTAACTAGCGAGGGGGTCGCTACTTTACCAGCAAACCATAAGAAAAGAGATCGTCTCGTAGAAAATGAAATGAAATGCATCGTAATTAAATATAGTGTATTAAATAACGTGTCAACATAAACAGTGCAATGACTCGCTCTTGGTGGAATTTTATATCTTTACAAGCAAATAAAAGTATATAAAGTATACAAAGTAAATCTACAGAATAATATATAAAATTTCAATTAATTGAATATTCTCGAGTCGAATGGATTCAAGGATACAAGGATTCATATTTAATAATATGGCAAAAAACTCGGTTAGGTTTCTGCCACGGATAAACCTTTTGAGGAATGAAAATAAAGTTTCCGTTTTCCATCTTCATCGCGGAAGTCTTAATGTTGTAATTTTCGCGAGGAACAAAAAGGTATCTCCGACCGCCCAATAGCGGAAACTTCGGGACTGCTATCTTTTAAGTACTTTTTACGTTCCAACGCCACGGCTAACGGTGAATAGTTTTCTTTTTTGTCGAAACAAAAATTTAACTGCCAACCGAGCGAAACATGCAATTTAAAAACTGACCAAGAGCGAGTCGGTCTCACGCACGTAGGGTTCCGTACCATTATAAAAACGCCTCTTATATAAAAGAGCCTCATTTAAATATTTTTTATTCCGTTTTTTAGTTTTTATTGTTATAGCGTAATATAACAGAATTACATCATCTGTGAAAATTTCAACTAACTATTACGGTAAAAAGTATGTTTTAGTATGTGTATCAACTACCTCGTACCCATTGTACAAGATGGTTTGATTACTTTGGGACTAGAAAAGGTATGTAAAATATGTTCAGATATACCTATTTATTTATTCCTCCACCCTCGGAGACTCCATCAATAAAAAATAAATAAATAAAGATAACGAAAAATGGAGAACAAAGCAACAATTTTTAAATTATTACTTACATCAACGATTTGAAACGTTAAGAAATTTCTAGGAGAGTATCTCAGAGTTTCATAATTATGTCAACAGGATAATATAGCTTCAGTTGATTGATGTAACATTTTGCTTGTAAAAGTTGACTTAAAACTGAATTTTATTCCTTATTTCTACATAACTCTTTATTGGTCAAAAGAGTCAAATAGTCAAGTATTATCCGAATTTCCATTTGGATAAGGATATTTATTCAAATTCAAAATTTCTTTATTTGATACATATGCTTATTTTAAACTTTTATTGAAAACAAAAACGGTTCATAAACTAGACGTGGCTACAGAAGCATCGGTAAGAAACTCTGCGGTCTTATTATCTTTTTTTTTTCGATGATACAATATGTACTTGTATCAATGTAGGAAATTATTTAGGTATAAAATCGGTAGCAACCGCGGTTAGTGAAGAGCAAGTCTTTCCCCTCTCCCTTTCCACAGCCTTGTCCTTAATGTATTTTCTTCGACATTCATTTTATTTACATTATTAGCCTTTACAAAATGTTTAAAATTGTTTACACTTAGTTGTTTGTAGACGACTTTCTGGTTATAGCCAGTCTAAAGCTCGATACTACCAGAGTGTGCACGTCCTCACGCGATGTGGTATGATTTTTTATTGTAAAAAGATGGATATTAATACGTACATACCTGGTGTTTTCGAACATGTATAGCGACGGGAACGTTAAAACGTTTATTTGCTTAAAAAGCTGCCGTAGTGACACACGTGGACCCAAGCCATAGACAGCTCGTCTCGCTTGCTTTGTATTACAAATATTGTGTCCGAATCGAATGCGAAATCCGAAAACACCAAATACGCAAAATTATAATGAGGACATTTATTTTTTTGCAAGGATAGGGGCAATCGGTACTTGAGATATATCTAATATATAAAATTTTCGTGTCACAGTGTTTGTAATTGAACTCCTCCGAAACGGCGCGACCGATTTTCGTGAAATTTTGTCTGCATATCGGCCAGGGTCTACAGACAACATCAATTTTTCATCCCTCTAAA